ATAGCCTAGAAGTGATTTTGTATGTTTTGTTCACGTAAACATGTTATTTTGAAAGAAAAGTGATCTTAGACACCGAAAAAGTATTTTTAAAGGTATTTTTCAAAGTTTTTATTGACTGTAGAGTGGAAGATAGAAAACGTTTGAGTCTTTGTTTCAGTTCTAGATTATGTTTTAACAGAAAGATATGACTATTAGAAATTGAGGGGATTTTCACGTGTACCAAAAAATGCACCGGCCACACAACAAGCCAAGGATAAAGAAGTAGCATCAATTGATGTATTTCCTCATCAATGCACCTTTGAGAAAGGAGAGAGCTCAAAGTCGAAGGTGTATATACTTGCACATGAGAAGAAACGTGCTTGATTTGCAAATGAGTCAATTTTCATGGAGGACATGCCAAGTTGGAGTACACGATCAAGTGGAGTTAGTCAACCAAGAACACCAATGAAGAAGTTGGGCATGAATGACTTTTCCATTTCATCTTCTCAAGCTAAGTATGACGTGATGGAGTATGTAGGAAGTCAGAAGGTCAATATCACAGTTGCCCAACTCATTGCTTTAAATCCAGCCATACGGAAGGAGTTGAGAGGAGGTCTTAGCTCCACAAGGACCAAGAAGCGAAGATCCAAGGAAACGGTTCACATGAATAATGTGGGAGTTGGTGTGGTGGATGCTACTGCCTTGGAGATATGTACACATGCTTCAAAGATTGAAGTGAGGATCGATGGGCATGATGTATCAGACGTGCTGGTAGATGATGATTTTGCTCTAAATTCGATTTCTGAAATATTGTTGATGAAGTTGGGTATGCGAATTTTCAGACCTTCGAGTATAATTCTTGGTATGGCCAACAAACATAAGGTAAAATCACTTGGTGTGGTTGACAAAGTTGTGGTAAGTGTGAAAGGTGTGCAAACTTTGCTTTTCTTCCAAGTACTCAAGGAAGCTAGCTATGATTTGATGTTGGGACGTCCTTGGTTGAGAGCGGTGAGAACTACTGATCGATGGCACAAGGGCTATCTTAGGATAGGTTCAAAGAACCATCGATTGAAGGTTCTTTTGACAGGAGGAGGAGAATCCATCAGTGACTTAGATAGACCAACTGACGAGTATTGGGAATCTGAGAGCGAGGAGATTAGCAGTTTTTTGGAAGTTGACACTAACATGTCAACTTCTGATCAAGAAACATCATTAGACGACTCTTCTGATGATGATGTACAAGTTCAAGTGGTTGCTGCCATGGAGTTGCTTCCTAGCCCGGGGGTGAAGAAAGATCTAGACAAAGTGGAGATGAGCGAGAAGGAGGTGTGTCAAAGACTTTCCACCCTCAAGTTTGATCCAAATGTTACCACGGAGGAGAAGGCAAGATTTTTTGATATATTTTGCAATCATATCCATGTCTTTGCCTTTAATTACAAAGATTTGAAGCATGTGACACTCGAAACTCATCACATTGAGTTAGAGGAGAAAGCTTGCCCTATTCGGCAAAAGCAACGACGAATCAATCCTCCTACGGCTGTGATGATAAAGGAGAGATTGACAAGTTGAGAGATGTCAGTTTCATCTATGAGGTAGAAAATTCAGAATGGGTGTCTCCTATTGTGATAGTGAAGAAAAAGAATGGTAAACTACGTGTATGTGTAGATTGCAAAAAGTTGAATGCTGTCACAAAGAATGATTACTATCCTCTACCTTTTATAGATGAGATTTTAGAATAGGTAGCACACCATGAGTGGTATAGTTTTGGGTATGGTTATAGTGGCTATAACCAAATCCAAATAACTTTAGAGTATCAAATGAAAACTACCTTTACCACATCATGGGGAGCTTTTGCCTTTAGAGTAATGCCATTTGGTCTATGTAATGCTCCGGCCACTTTTCAAAGGTTCATGAATAGGGTGTTTGAACCTTTCATTGGAAAGTTTGTGAGAGATTTCATAGATGACTTTTGTGTGTACGGGAGGAAGAAATACCATTTTGATCACTAAGTCAAAATACTCCAACGTCTAGAGGAAGCGAAAGCTTCACTCAATCCAGAAAAATGCATTAATGGATGTGAGGAAAACTTATTGTTGGAGCACATCATTTCCAAGAATGGTATAGTTGTGGATCCAGAGAAGGTGACGAGGATCATGGAGTTACATGTTCCTTTGATGTTGACCAAGTTGAGACAATTCCTTGGTATGGTGGGGTACTATCGGAGGTTCATCTTGTCCTTCTCCAACAAAGCTCATACCTTCAGGAGTTACATGAAGAAGGGGACCGAATACGAGCTCATCTTCAATGATGAAGAGGCAAAGTTGGCGTTTGATGCACTCAAGAAGGCGTTGGTGACAGCTCCAATTTTGGCAAAACATGATTGGGGTAAACATTTTCTTCTTTATACAGATGCATCAAATATCGCTGTAGGATGCACCTTGAGCCAATTTGATGATAATAAGCATGATCATCCAATTGCCTATGCTAGTAGATAGATGGTAAAAGCACTGACCGAAAGGGAGGCTTTAGTTGTCATCTTTTCACTTAAGAAGTTTTGACACCATCTATTGGGTGGAATATTCACTATAGTGACTGATCATAAGGCATTGAAATATATTTTAAACAAGACTGATGCTGAGGGAAGTATAGCTAGATGGAAACTATTACTAGCAAAATTTGATTATACCATTGAGGATAGACCATGAAAGAAGCATGCTAATGAGGATTTGATGTCAAGAGCTTATGATGAGGAAGGAGATCAATCTGTGAATGACTCTTTTCCGGACGAAGATTTGTTGGTCATGGACACGGTGACATCGGTACCAGAGGAGTACAAGGAGATTTGAAAGTTCATCTCCAAAGGATAGTTTCCTCAAGGTATGCATTTGAGAGAAAGGAATGCATTGGTAAAGAGATGTCAACCCTATATGATCATTGAAAAGGTGTTATTTCATCAAAGAGCTGACGGTCTTCTACGATGAGCTGTTGGAAGAGGAGAAGCATTGCAAGTCATGAAAAAGTTTCACGAGGGTGCAATGTGTGGAGGATATTTTGCGGTGAAGGTAATTGCCTTCAAAATCCTTGATGTTAGTTATCATTGGAAGGCTATTTTCAAAAATTGTGTGAAATTTTGCAAAAGTTGTGATGTGTGTCAAGCTTTTGCTAAAAAGTCCATGAAAACCCCTCCTTTGATTTCATTTCCAATGTTAGATCATTTTGAAAAATAGGAGATAGATTTTGTAGGTCCTTTGAATCTCACTTCTCAGGGAAATAAGTTCATTGTGATAGCTACATATTATCTTATCAAGTGGGTAGAGGCAAGACCACTGAAATCTACAAATGAGAATGAGGTTGGTAGGATTTTGTATGAGAGAATCATAACCAGATTTGGTTGCCCTTCGGAGTTAGCGTCAGATAGAGGAGGAGAGTTTGTGGGAAGTATGATTCAAGCAATGTTAGATCATTTTTCCATTAAGTCTCGAGTGACTACTTCCACAAACTCAATGCTAATGGGTTGGCAGAGCGGACCAACTACACTCTTTGTATGATGTTGGCCAAGGATGCAGACATGAACGTGAGCAAGCAAAACTTGGACAAGAGATTGGACAAGAAACTTGGAAGTATCGAACGACGTGGAAAACATCTACCGGATATTCACCTTTTCGGATGGTGTATGGAGTTGAATCAAAGCTTCCAATACAATTCGACTTGACTACTTTCATGACGATCCAGCATAGGTTGAAGAAAGCAAATGGAAAAGAAGCTATCAAGTCTAGCCAACAACAATTGATGGAGTTGGAGGAAGCTCGAGCTCTAGCTATGGTACGAGTGGAGTCAACATTGGACTTAGTCTAGCCAATCATCTTTCATACATTTAGTTAATCCAATCAAATCCAAGCTTCTAGTCAAATATCTAATCCCTTAGAATCAAGACCTTTGTAAAAGACAAAATAGAAATGATCACTCCTTGTAAAAGACAAAATAGAAGTGCTCACTCCACTCTTCTAGAAGTCCGCTAATTTTTCCGCCAACTATAGACATTATAGCTAAACTTAGTCACGACTAGATAAACTAAGTTATAACTAACTAATTTAGTCATAACTAAATAGACTTAGCTATGACTTGGCTAATCATCCTTAATCACTTGACCACTTCTAAGACTTAGTACATATGTGCAACATCCAGTCTTACAAGTTGCTGTTTGCATTGTGTTTATTCTTTGTTGCCGGAGGTTTCGACTTTCATTTCCTTTTGGATAAGGGAGAGATTGCTACTAGTCTTCGTTATTCAGAACAAGAGTTTGAAGGCAGAATATTGCGTATTCAACATCGGGGAAGCATCCATGGTTAGTTTTGGTTGCCTAGAGCGGGAACGGGACGGTTTGATTGACCGGATTGATTCGAGTCTTGGAATATTTTTTATTGTGGTACCCCACTTTTGGTATTTTTGAGGAATTTAAAACATTTTTGGAAAACTGTACCACGACAACAGTGTAAATAGCCATCGGTGCATCAAAATAGAGTGAAACTGGAGGATCTTGGAGAATCTTGAAAGATCTCGTAGAATCTAGGAGTTAGGCGCAACGTCTGAGACAGGCGCCGCCCTAGAAACGGGCTCTGAAGGAGTAACCCCTTTGGCGCAAGGCGCGGAATCCGCCTTCGGCGCTAGAGAAATCCTTCAGAACCTGGTCAATTCTCGAACTTTATTTTTTTTCAAACAGGAACCACTTATCTACAAATATTATTAACCACAGAATTTAGTGAGCGGCGCCAAATCTTGCTATGGATTGCTTTTTTTGCTTCTTTCTCCGTGAAAGTGCCTATGGTACCAGTTCATATTTGGTTACCTGAAGCTCATGTGGAGGCACCTACGGCTGGATCTGTAATCTTGGCAGGAACAAAAATCTAGTGATAGAAAGTGATGCATAAGTTCGCGATTTATAAATAAAACGAACTTCGGCCGACGAAGTCCTTCCCTACTTGAAAAAGAAGGGGGGAGGGCTGCCCGGACAGCGCAAAGCGCTTTCTCGGGCCTTTCAAGAAAAAGCAAGCTTGAGACCTATGAGGCACTTGTCAGATAGAAAATCGACTTTGAAGAGAGCTCCTGCCTGCCATCATGGTAATCTGTTATTAGTTCATAAATCTTTTCTTTGGTATAAGTAGAATTAGGAAACGAACCTCTACTTCGTGTCTGTATAAATTTTTGACCACAAACAATTTCCATAGCTAATTTAACATTCTTTATGAAATTTGAGGGTGCCTTTGGAACTACTATTATTTTACACAATCTGGGAACTTCCATTATGTTTTCATAATTAATTTTTAGCAATAAATCTGGACGTATTACCTGATTGTAATGAAACTCAAGTCTATTTCTATTTGGAGAGAACATAATTTGATTTGGCCTTTTTTTATTGAAATTGAAGCATCAAGGACATCGAAAACCTTCATTATTTATATATAATTCTCTGAAGTATGATCTATATTTTCCAGGATTTCCTTGAAAAGGACATCGGGATCGAAGTTGTCACTTCCATGATGGAAGTCTTTGGGCGTTCCCGAAGGAAAACTAGAGGCCTATATAACAGATCTCAAAAACATGGTAACCCAAGTAGGGGAAGATCTAGGCCTTCAGTATTAATTCAAGGTTCCCCGGACTTTCTTATTGTATAATTCTAAAATGTCTGCATGATCCAATGGGGTTAGATTCCTCCTCGCCGTGGGTACATATTTCCCCATTTCATTCCGTTTTACAAAACCTTTCTCTTTTAACTTGTAAAAAAGTTTCGTAATGGGGGCACAAACCCGAAGACGTTCTGTTGAACGCTGCTTAATCGTCTTGCCTCTTACCGTGCGCACATGGAAGAAAAATATTTCTGCTTTTCTCAGTCTTCCATTTTCTGCCCTGTCCTGTTGGTCGACCCTCTCCTTTTGATAGACTATCAACATTATTATTATTATCCAGTAAAATGATCGGGAATGATTTCCTCTGACCCGGGTCCAAAGTGAAAAGATAATAAAAAGAAAATAGATATCGGCCATCCTGTCCCTGTTAATAATGGAAACGCTACGCTTCTCAAGTACTCGCCTCGACTTGCTTAGGGTATCCTTGGAAAGAGCTCGACGCGCTGATTCTAACGAGCCCAAGAACGCCACGAACGGATGAGGACTCTAGGAGTTATGAAGGTCGCAAGATACGCAGATTCTCGCCTACGAGTAGGCGAGGAAAGTTTGTCCTATGCGCAGACGAGGGAAGTCCGCCTACGCGTAGGCGAAATGGGGTTTGACGTCGGCAGGATGTCCGCCGCGAATGTCGCCTACTCGTAGGCGGGGAGGAATGACATCTATGCACAGGCGGACGCAAAGGCCGCCTACGCACAAGCGCTTCGGCGTCGGCGCGAAATCCGCCTTCGGCCCTAGAAATGCGCCTTCGGGGTTGGAAATTGTACGGCGCCTTCGGCGCCAGCGCATCGCGGACGGGCGAGGACCCAACGGAGTAGCAAAATCCGTACCGACCGTACGGACTGTACGGACCGTACGGACGAGTGCGCCTTCGGCCGGTCGGGGTTACGGGGACAAGCGCGCCGACGGAGAGGCGAGAGAAATGGACAGACTTGACGGAGTCCGTTGACCGCGGTCAACGCCTTCGGCGCTGCGCCTACGGAGAGGGACCTGCGCGGACAAACGTCTGATACGCGGACGGAATTCGCCTACGCATAGGCAGATGAAGTTCTGCGCCGGCGGAGATTCCGCCGGGGATTCCGCCTACGCAGAAGGTAGTTCGATTTTTGTCCTATGCGCGGACGATCTCCTTCGGCGGAGCGGGACTGGCCAAAGATAAGTACGAACAAATGTAGCGCGCCGGCGAGAAATCCGCCTTCGGCGCTACGCACCCATGTCCGCGGCGTAGTACGCTAGCGGAGTTCAAATTGCCAATTCGAGCGTGTGAGTTAAGTCGGCGTCGGCGGAGCGTGAAGCCGCGCGTGAAAGAGGAGGCTGTTATAGCGCGGAGCCGGCGCGGCCATCAAGTGATTCGACCTTCACGACCGAGAGCCGACCATGACCTTCGACAAGGAGACGGAGGACGCCCCATTCTTGAATTCGCGATTTCACTTTCTAGTGCGAGCTGCGCGCGTCCACCTGCTAGCTGTTAGACACTCTAGACATCGCCGCGCGGAGAATTACTCGGTGGCTGAGAGAGAATTGAGTGAGCGAGAGTGGAAATTGAGAGAAATTAGAGTTTGCAGAGGAGGCAGGAGCGCGAGCAAGAAGCTCGAGCAGAGCAGAGAGAGAGTTGCTACGCAAGCTAATTTCAAGAACGCAATGTCGAGGTTGAACAGGCTGCGTATGATGCCACTCCGGCTTCCACAGAACGGGTTGCGGGCTTCTGAGGAACGGCTGATTGCAAGAAAACTTGATTTCTTGCTATGGGGATGGAACTACGTGTGTGTAGACATGGTGCGCGAATGGCTGGACGCGGAGCGACAACCTACGCGCGGATTGCGTCCGCACGTAGATAGGTGGACCGTCCACGATTGGGCACAGGCATTGGGGAGGTGTGCCGGCAACGACGGGTACCTCCTATTTGATAGTGAGAGCGTCAAGGTGTCGAAGCAGGTTGAAGCGCAATTCGTGGAATTATTCAAGCGGGGAGGTCTTCCAAGAACGGGTACAAGACCCGCGACTACAAAGATCGTTTCCGTAGGACTGTAGCGGCGGCGCTGCTGCAATTGTTGCAGCCGCACCGCACCTCGTACATCACTTTGTGGCAGGTGTCTTTTGTGGAGCTCACATTAGCCAGAGCTCCAGTTCACTGGGCGCGCATCCTTCATAGGGTGATGCGACAGCACGCATATGAGGAGAAAGGGGGAACTCTCAATCACCTCTCCCCTTTCTTGATAGACTTTTATCGACAGAGGAACTGTTTGACCACGGCGGAGCTTGCTCGTTTTCCGCCATTGTCCGTCGACCATCCCGAGAAGTATGTGCGGGATAACGAAGTCGACACCGACGCAGAGGATTCATCAACTTCTACTCCACCGACTTAGCGGGACGAGGGAAGAAGCACACCCGCAGCAAGAGTGCCGCGGAAACGAAGATGGAGAGAGGAACCAGAGGAGGAGCAACATCGAGAACCCACTGCTCCCATACGGCAGCGGCCACTGCACGAAGTGTGCAGCCGGCCGAAGCTGAAGGCGCGCAGGCTTGTGTTACCAGCCAGCAGCGCGGAAACGGCGACGATCGCCACGGAGAAGGGAAGTGCGTCCCTGGAGAAGGACGGGAGTGCGCGGACGTCCGCAGGAGCGGTGGACCACGCTACGCCTCAGGCGGACGAGAGACGGCCTTCGGGTCTGGAGTTACTACGTGCGGTGCGGACGAGTGTGCCGCCTACGCACAGGCGACTCCCTGTGGACAGGCGATCTCTTGCAGACGTAGACCTCTGCCTACGCGTAGGCAGAGAAAGTTCGCCTATGCACAGGCGGCCGCCTACGAGTAGGCAGGATTCACCCCCGGTACAACGTAGGAAGGGGAAGGAGCCGGCGGAAGATCCGCCTTCGGCTCAATGGCCTTCGCGGCAAGGCCCTCCGGCGTACAACGCGCCGGGATTTGCGCCTTCGGCGCCAGGGCGTTCGGGCCACCGAGTTACAAGCAGGCAACGTGCGGAGGCCGCACCTTCGGCGGGAAATCCGCCGGAAGACGCGCCTTCGGCGGAAAGGCCTTCGGGCCAAGGTACATCGGGCGGGCGGCCTTCGGCTCTATCGCCTTCGGCGCTGCGCCTGCGGCGGATAATGCGCCGGGAATTGCGCCTACGCGTAGGCCAGACGCATCCCTCGCGCAGGACCGATCGAGGGAGCAGGACCTAACGGAGGAGCGGATTGTCTGTCCACGGGACGACATTCGAGTGTGCGATGCACAATTGCACCCCGCGTAGACACATTCAACGCGATCACCTTCGGCGGTGGACGCCGGCGGCGAAAACGATCTGACGACGACGATCGACGCACGAATCTGACGACGGCGGCGAAAACGATCTGATCTGACGATCGACGCACGACAGGCGGATGATGGGGATGTGGCACGGCCACACTCACCCACCGCCTTGGACATTTTAGCAGGGAGCAGCAAAGCTGCATGAGCGATATCGACGGCAGAACCCGCAGACCCCACGCAGCCCCACTCGGGCCAGTCGCCAACGCAATCAATGGCGACCAAAATCCTTGCTTCGGATGATGACGAAGGAGGATCCACGGAATCAGTGTCGGGATCGGGAGACACCGAGGAGGAGGAGGAAGAAATCGTTGGTGCGCCAGCGGCGGCGCTCTGTGAGCAGGTAGTACCTCTGCTGAGGTACTTGGATCGCAAAATTGATAAGTATGCGGATCCTCGCCTGGGTCCTACGTCGAGTTAGTGCGCAGGCGAACTCGCACTAAAGTCCACACCAGCAAGTTGCTAGCTCGGGTGGACCGGGAACTTAAAGAGCTGCGGGAGCAGTATGACTGCTTGTGGGGTCAGTACAATCTCGTGCGGAAGTCGCACACCCACTACGACAAGTTGAAGAAGGAAAGACTGGAAGAGCTCACCAAGAATCTGGTGAAGACCACAGAAGCACTGATTTCTGAGAAGACTTAGAATCAGGTTCTGTCAGAGGAGCTCGTGCGGCAGACGCGGTTGTTGGAGGAGTGTCAGCTCGCACGACAGGCGGATGAGGATTTAATCCACAGGCTGCAGTCGGAGTGCGGAGAATTGAGAGCTCAACGTGCGGAGGCCGAATCGCAATTGGTGGTAATTGAAGACGATCGCAGGCGAGAGGCAGATCGCACGAAGGAAGAGATGGCGAGGCGCTTCGCCCACTGTCTCAAGGGCTACGCCCACTGGGAAGTGGCGGCGCAGGAGAAACTCACACTGCGTGAGTTAGAGCTTTGTGCAGCCGGGTTGTTGGCAGGTGGCGCAGCATCTTGGCGCCAAGAACACGTCTCGGGCTGGGGATTTGTAATAACCCACCAAAGGCTAAAACTGCAATATAGTGGTAGAAAGGTCAAACCCACATGGACAGAGGCAACACACAGAGTACAAAGTGTCACATTTAACAGACTATTGAAGAGTTTGAATTCTCAGGCGACTGTCACTCCCAAAAATACTGCAAGTGTTCACTCGGAGATCACTCGGAGGTCGCACAGTGCAGCGTAGTTCACTCAACACACACACACACACACACACACACACACACCTGAAACTATCGAAACACAACTCAGAGTTTGGTTAGGACCTCTACTTAAGATTTCAAGGGGGAAGTCTCTCGCGAGTACACTCATCGAATCTACGGGTAGTGACTCCCAACTCCGGCTTTTACAACCCTTCCACTAGTTTCTGCTAGCATAGGGAACCTGGATTGGACTTCCTACTTCGGATCGAAGTCACTCACATGCGGTGAACAACACACTCAAC